TTCAACCACTTAATATCTGTACAAGCGATTGCTCGTTTCTCTCTTTAATGAGATTCTCCTTTTGAATTCGGAAAAAACGTAGTTGCAATACTTCGGTACATAATGATTTTACATTGTAATGACGCTAATATAATAACAAGAACTTTATTATAGTAAGACCATTAACTTAAAAACGTTTTTACCAAGTGTCCACTCTATACATTCCTTATTCTATGAGTCCACCGCAGTTAATAAAGCCACAGACAGGCTGCGTGGTCTATCTCTGCGATCACGCTCGAGGCTCGCCGCTCAACAAACAGCGTGTTATCTCCGTTCTTGGCAAGCACAGATTGTCTGTCGCAAATGTCTCTGTTGTTTACTTAATCTTTGATCTAATATTGATCTTACGTCACTATTCTTAACTTATATGTAGCTACACGGTAATTATGGGCATCCAAACTAAACTAAATAAGCAAATTTTACATACGATTAGAATAATAGACTAGTTGAAGATAAAGAAATTAAATTCGTCATTTATATTAAAGATACTGGTACAAAGCGATATTTTATAACACGCTTAATACCTAGCTTGCAGCTTCATAACAGGCAAGTTAATGCCCTGTGCTGCTGCGAGATGAACGGACATAAGCCGCGCAAAGCCGATTACAGCGATCCAACTTCATAACGACTCTTGTAAAATGCGGAAAGAACAAGAAAAATAAAAGCAAAGCACTAAAAGAAATTAATTAATATTTAGGAGAAAAAATTCTAACAGAATATCGTATAGATTTTCTTTTGCCGCCAATTTCAAATTTAGCAACAAATGGGTTATTACATCTCTTGTGTTTGCTGACGGTACATATAATTGGACAATTGAGACGATAATCGTTTTTCTAAACTATTCAAATAAAATGCCAAGCAAAGTTTTATTTATTTCCATCGACATGGAAAAGAAAACTGTAGACGATGAAAAACAAAGAAGCAGAAGAACATACAGATGAAAGGCGCACATAGCGCCTAAGTAGGCTAGATCACTTTGTAACCTAGACGTTAAAACATGTCGGCTAAATATGTAACACAACGTTGTTAAAATGATTAAATGCACACACACAAGAAACTTCAGAAAACAACAGCTTAATTATAAAAGGTTGTCAAGGATAACACAATACTGGAAGGCTAAGGGTCTCACCCACCACTAGCCGATAGACCCTCAGATAGCTTAAAAATGACATTTTTCATACAAAAAGGTGGCAAACGAGGCAAGCGGCCACCAAAATCCGTCAAATTGGCGAAGCTACCCTTCCTCCCTTCCTATGCGTCTCCTCCACCATCAAATCCACTTTCCCATCTAATTATTTTCTTAATAGAAAAAGGTGGAATGGGGAAGGGACTAAAATTGGGCGTCCGGCACCACACTCATCAGGCGAAACGCGAAATTGCTTCCACTTAACTTCTGTTTTCTGTGTGGTTGTGGTATTGCACCGGGCGAGCCGGCCTATTCGTGCGAAGATGTTAAAGCGGGCTCTAACATCACTGTCAGTTAAGGTAACAAGCTGATATTTCCATCACATATTTTACACGTTGGATTGTTATGACAATTTACAATTTGGTGTATTCATAATTGTTTTTAGAACGTTTTCTAGGCTATTTAAGTTAATTTCTAGCTACATTTGTACTAATTCTTCTATTTCCCTATTGTCTTTGCTCGTATTGCTTACAGCCGTTTTTTTCTACTTCACTATAAAATATAGATGTAGTCAGTTCAGGAGGAATAGATGGACTAACTCAATTTAACTAACTATCCATATAAAATCTGTAATTGGAGCAGTTGGAATGCATATAACTATCGGTCGGTTTGGCTCGCACCGGCAATACACTAATGGACACAACTCGGCTGCGAATTTCTGGCACAATTATTCGTCATTCGCATATCAACTCAATGCACCAGTGTATAGTTGAATTGAGTTTGCAGAATTTTGAACAATAAAGAAAATAAAAACGTTTAGGGGTAGATATTTTTTTTACAGGCCTATATAGCAATAGGCCTACTATGCCAAAGGTGTGTTGATATTTTGATATACACATTATTAGTAAATCACTATTCCTTTTCTTATTTAGGTATATTTAAGAAATAAAAGTATTTCAACATAAGAAACCATATTTGTCAGGTGTGGGGTTCGAACCCACGCTCCCATCTGGGAACCAGAGCTTAAATCTGGCGCCTTAGACCACTCGGCCAACCTGACTTGATACCCAGACCTTTATATTGCTATCACATTAATAATGAAATATGATTTACCCGGTGTGTTTCACATTAGGCCGCTCTGCCTACCTATCTATCGGTCCAATGGGATTTTTTCCCATGTTTCGATTAATTCTATGAGTTAGATTGGCCCAACTAAAAGCACCCGCTACACTTATTATGCTTAAACAAAAATATTGAACAAAACTCAAAAGCATTACAATAAAATAAAGGATTTAGCTTGTGTCACTTTCAAGACAAGACTTGTGAATTGAAGGCGAAATGCTGACTATAAATGGAATTTAATACATGTCACTACGGAGCGTAGTGCCTCCCCTCCCCTCGCGCCTTCCCCTGTCCTGGTATATCCAAATTATCCAAATTCCATCTGTTTCCGGAGACGAAGAGCTTTTGAGTAATTTCAAGGCGAATCTCCGACGTTATTAAGACTTTCAATGACTCCTAACACGAGAAGAGGCGAATATTTGCTAAAAACTTGACATTTTTGCTTTACATCAAAGTTGTTCAGAATTCACGAGGAATTGCTAAAGACAAATATACGGTAAAAGATTAATTAAAAATACATAACGAAATAAAAAATAACTATATCCAAACGTTTGTTTATTTTATGAATAGAAAATTAGATTTCGATATAGGAATTCGGTTTTTTTCCCTTTTTTAAACAATATCACCCGCTTTCTGTTTTTTTTTTCATCAATGTAAACAGAGTTGGTATTTATGTAACATAATCGAATGACACGTTAAAAAACAAACGATGCGTAACTGACGGGGCGACAGGTGTGCTCTACATTGTTTACTGACTTGTCACCTATCGCCTGTCACCTGTCGCCTATCGCCTGTCGCCTGTCGCCTATCGCCAGTCGCCTACACAACGAACAGTGCACTGTGTAGATCAATCTATTACTATTAATAAAACAAAAACAATAATAAAGGTTATAAAAATAGCAAGCTATTACAAAACTGATAATTTTTATGTCTTATTTCGGCTTACAGCAAAGAATTACAAAGCGCCCTCTGTTATTAAAAACAAAACTAAGATGTATTTTTGCAGTTATTAGAACGATATTTTATCTAGACTAGACGTTTCCTGTGCAGGATTCAATTTTATACGTCCGTGATGAGATTTATTGTTATCCGGTCAACACAATACAACTGTTTGATGGTCGACTTTCTGCGCGATGTACCTTTTAATACAAAATTTTATATCTATTATTACATCGAAATGTAATTTCTGTACAATACGATACTTTAACTATGTGGGAAGTCCCGTAAGTTGTCATATTTGAGGTTTTAACTTATGTTATCTTAGATCGTAGGACATCGTTGCATTGTGTACAGTCGCCTTCGTTTGCGGTGTACCAGTTTCACAAATAATACTTAGCACCTTGTAAGTAATCCGATTGATTATTTCAGGTATTTATATTTATGCGTATAAATAAGTTTTGATGTTAGAAATAAAATGTTGATATCCTTTATTTTCCTGCATGCATTTCTTTGATCTCAATTTCAAAGTAACCGCGGCCCAAACAAAGCTGGAATATCCTCAACGCGAATGCTGCAGTTCTCCACATAGAATTCGCCCTGAAACATTAAGGCAGTGTCACATTTAGAGTAATTCCGCATATACCTGCAGATAAGAGTGCCCTTAAGTCTAAATAAAGTCAAAACTAAAATTTGCAACATACATACAGCGGGAAAAGGACAAGACCCCATAAAAGGTGCCTCTCTTCAGGAAGCTGCCGAGGAATTTGTCTTTGTTGAGCAAATCGCACAGCCTGTAGTTTAGCTCGAAGAATGTTTACTTGTACGTGTTGCCCCAGTGATTGTAGAAATAGATGTTGACCTTGCAACAGAGCATACGTTAATACAACTATGACGTCACTGAGGCAATGCAAAAAAGGCTACTGTCTTTTTTTCACGTAGTACCACCGTAAACGCAACAATCACTGGAGCGCATTCTATCCATCCGTATTTTAAAAAATAAATGAAATTATGTTCCAAGACATTTTTGTAAATGGAATACAGCAAAACAAGGCGACTGTACATACTGGTGTGAGACAACGTCAAACTGCAAGCGTTTGCTATTGAACTTAGCCGAAACGCATTCTACTTTGTTTGATTCTCAAAAGTATCTTTAGGAATTACAGTTTTAAATTGTTTGAATTTCGCCTGCGACTCCGTCCGCGTGGAATTAAAAAGAAACAAAAGTGAGTAGCCTATTTGTTTTTCCAGACTATGCTCCATCTGCGCGAAATTTCATCAAGATCCGTTCAGCCGTTTAGGTTACAAAATCTAACAAACATCCGTTCATCCATCGAAACTTTCGCATTTATAATATTAGTAAGATAGTTTGTCTAAATAAGAGCGGATCCAGCTTTAGCGCTGGGGGGGATCATATAGTCGTGGTCAAGTCAAGAGCTTAACAAAATATGTAAATAAATTTTGCCAAGCTTTTGACCAACCAGCTAAGGGGTGGGTCGGGCTCGGCTCCCACGACCCTGGAACCGCTGTTGATAAGAATAAAAATCGAAATTTTTTCGATAGATTCTTCAATCTATTGAGTTTGTAGAAAATCAGGCATGTCTGATTTTACACAACCCACCCCTGCTAGATTGTCAAATAAATTATCAAACTAATCTATCTTATTTAGATAAAAAAGGATGAGAAATAAAACTCGACACACCATTTATATGTGATTTTTTATTTATATCATTCCTAAAAATAACACAAAATCTTGACATTGTCCTTGCATTTCTATTTACTTTCTTCCTTGCACGTGCTTTTCTTTGATTTCTATGTCAATGTAACCACTGCCCATGCTTTCTCCGGTTACATAAGTGGTATTCACGCAGATCCTGCCTTTCTTCAGCGGTAGGGAGACGGGCACATTTTCTATGGGTATCGTAACATTCTCCACGTGGTATGTACCCTACAATATCAAGATTGCAAATATAAATGCAGAAATATGATAGAAATGATGAAATGATTGTGAAAAAAGTGAATCCGAAACATACAGCAGGAAAAGGACAAGGCCCCTTAAAGGTTCCTTTCTTAATGGAGCTGCCGAGGAAGGTGTCCTTGTTCAGCAAGTCGCAAAGCTTGTAGTGCAACTCGAAGAATGTCCGCTTGTAAGTATTGCCCGAAGATTTGTAGAAGACAATATCCACCTTGCAACGGAGCATACGTCAGTAATGCAAAAAGTAATAAAGATAAGAATATTGAAGAAATTCAAATCACATAAATCAAAAATCTATCTTTATGCCCACGAAGAAATTACGCTTACCAGATCTAACACAATCATAAACACGAGATCACGAGAGTTTAAAAAAATACAGAAGAAATAAATCTATAGCTAAAGATTAAATTTACCAAAATTCTATTATCCAAAGGTACCATGCAGTCTCCATGGCCGCTGATGTAATACTTAGGGTCATCACGGCTGTAGCGACGGGCTGTAGTGTTAAAAAATGATACGAACTTCTTGTTATAATACAAAACTACAGGACGCTCCAAGCTTATATACTTGATCTGAAATGAAACATTTTATAGTGTCAACCATAAACGCCGCTATTAATTTAGGAATTTCCTAGCAGAGTCCTCCACGTTAAACCAAATTTAAGTATTCACTATATAACTTTCTTGTTTTCCGTCCGTCTGTCTGCCCTGTCCGTTTTGCCTAGAACAGATCCCGCTAAAGCCATTTTTATAAAACTTACTTTTTCCATTCTACAGAAAGTGAAAAATATTACGAAAAAGTAAAGTCTCCATAACTTGGACACTTTTCGGCTCCGCATAGCGACTTGTAATAGCAGAAATGTAATGAAATGTTTAAATTATTTCGATTTGATCATTTATACAGATTTGAAATCTGTCGGTAATTTATTCTATAAAAAGTAAATTACCCAAATCACAAATAATAACCTTGACATACGAAGTACACAACATTCATTAAATATTATGGGATCGCAGTTGATCACAGGTTTATTAATTGTAATATATAGTGTTGTGTTTGATAAAACTAAACTATGAGAAATTAACTTCCCGACATATCCAAAATTTAAATGAATAGAATTTTGTTCTTACGTAACTTCAAAATAGCTTAACGAATCTCGATGAAGCACAGATGTAGAACACAACTTTTTTTTAGTTACGCGCGGACGGAGTCGCGGGCAAAAGTTATAATAGACTTTGTCGATGAAAGCTAAAGATTCGGTTAAGCTTGGACTGGTAGGAAAACATGTGTGAATCCGCTTTTTCTTGTGTTCTTACATGTATTTAGAAAAATTAATATATGTTTTTGCCACTAAATGAGGCAACGTATCACATCGGCAGGTCATTAAATTGTGAAATTTCGACCTTTAGGAAGAAATTGTCACCGTCTGTTTTAGAAAAAAAGAAGTGTCAGTTGTCAAAGTGTAATCTTACGTCAAAGCCCATCAAAGGCTGTCAAATGTCAAAACAAAGTAATAAATGCAAAGTATAAACTGTTTTGTTTTATTTTAATAAAATTAAATATTTTAATATGCGATGGAACGAAACCGTTACATTGGAATTCGTAAAGATATATTTAAAACACGAATGTTTATGGAATCCATCACATCCAGATTACAAGGTAAAATACCAAAGAGAGAAAGCCTACGCGGACATTGCGTCCGAATTTCAACTTTCTACGATGAAAAGTTTAAGTATTCCTGAAATAAAGATTAAAATAAAAAACTTAAGAACTACATACATGCAACAAGTGCACAAGATAATCCAGTCTTCGACTCCAGACTGCATATATGAGCCATCCTTGATATGGTTTCATGAAATGGATCAATATATGAAAAATATTCCTACAAACAGACATTCTACTTTATACGATACTGTAAGTACTTAAATATTTCACAATACAATTTGTGTATACCAAAATTCATTGAAAGCAGTAGATTTAAGAGTGGAAACAATAACCTACTACAATCTGACTAAAGTTTTATTAAATCTATTTCAGACTCAAGAAGCTTCTGAAGTTGACTCATCCTGTCACATATGGGTCGAAGGAGATCTCCCAAATGACAATACAGAAGAATCTGACACAAATCCACTAAACCCAACCGACACGGAATGTGATACATCAAAACCCGGAGCTTCCTTGCATATAAAGAAAGAAGCAGATGATTCCTCTCAATCATTTGACAAAGTCAAAAAGAAGAAAACAAAACACCAATCTTCTGAACAGGATTATTCAACAGATTCAATGTCAGAATCTGTTGCTTTAGAAGATGAGTTTGACATTTATGGTAAATACATAGCTGCACAACTCAGAAATATGGATTTGCATAAAGCCTTGCAACTGCAGTTAGAAATTAATAACCTTGTTGGTAAAGCTAGAATTTCAGAACTTTCTAATGAGAGTTGAAAACATTACTAAAATATTTAGTTTTGTAAATATAGGAAGTGTTTATAATAAATTAATATTTTTTTCATGGTATTTAACTTGTTCTATTTAGTTATAATTATATTGTATTGTATTTGTGTTTTTGTATTTCCATGTAAGCAATCCCATTAATTTGATAAGTTACTTGTGTAATAAACATTTAAAATGAACTGAATTTGTTTCAATTATGTGCCTAATTTTTAAAGATATGTAATAACTGCGGCTAATTATTTTAAACCAAAAGCAAGTTTATTAATGATGAATTGAAGAAATTAATCAGTGAGTGGTACTGATCCCAATCAGATGCAATCGCAGAAACATTATACCTTGGTGTAGTTTATTGTATATATTATATGGACAATTATTCGTATTGGAAGATTGGCTACGTAAACCATATTTATAATTCTGGTCTTTCCTTCTTTTTTTTTTATTAAAAATCGCAGTGTTGCAATGAGTTATAGTATCTATCTGGTAATTTCATTTCAACTGTCAATGTCATTCATGTCACAATTTTGTCATATTCAATTCGCATTAGAGTTTTGTTTTCTCATAATAAACATTACAAAACGGGATTACCAGACATGTTAAATGATCATTATGAGGTGGGATGAAAATGAGACGTACCAATTTGTGAAACTTTATCTCAGTAAAAATTTCTTATGGAATCCGAATCACGAAAAGCATAATTTGAAAGATGAACGAAGGAAAGCGTATAAAAAGATTATTGAAGAGTTCATGTCTCTTACTGGGATACAACTCAATGAATACGGAGTGAAAATTAAGATAAAAAATTTACGATCCACATATTCGCAAGAAATTAATAAAATACGGACACGATCAGGACCAACGTCTAAATATACGCCTACTATCAAGTGGTTTGCGGATTGGCATCGATGTTTTCAAAGCATATCTGGAAAAACAGATATTGATACAGTTTATGATGTTAGTTGTGTTTTCTTTTATATTGTTATTATGCTTACATTTTTCTGAATCGTTTAATTAGCTATGTCTGTTTTCATTACAGGATCCCACTAGTGAATCAGACAACAAGCCATGGTTAACCATTAACATAGACCAGAGTAATGAGGAAGGAAACATAGATCCTTTTGCATCTGACAACCAGAATTATAATTTAGAAACAAATTCAAAATGTATCAAAAACGTGAACAGTAGAGTTACATTATGTAAGAAAAAGAGAAAAAAAATGAAATTAATAAGTTCCGGTATACAAAAGGACAGATTAAGAAGTGATGCAAGTTTGCCACCAAGAGAAGATGAGTTTGATATATATGGACGGTATGTTGCATCACAGCTGAGACAGATGGATATACAGAAGGCTTTACAATTGCAACTTGCAATACAGAACCTAATGAGCGAAGCAAGGATTGCAGACTTAGATGAAATGTAGAAAGAAGTAAAACTATCCATTCTAATTACTTTGATATCAGCAAATAATAGAATAATAGTGAATACTGTCTCTATGTAAAAAAATCCAATGATCATGTAATAGTATCATTAAAATCTATATTACTAATGTATTTTTAAGAATCTGTATGTTAAATGCACTATTAACTTATGACTAATGAACAAATACTGAATAGACTTAAATATTTTACAGCCTCTTGAATGATAAGGCCATGCTTACTCCAAATTCTAATAAAATCATGACATCTGTTGGATTGTAAGCTGCACTTCAAAGTAAAGTATTAGTTTTTGGGCTGCAAGCAATATCCTCCATAATCATAGGAAAGGATTAAGGTGAACAAAATAAATATACTAAAGAAACTGCAAGTCTGATTTTTATTGCTGTTACAGCATCCGTTTACAATATAAACAAACATTTATCGCTTACGTTTCACTAGTGACAACTCAGATCATTTAGATTGTACCAAAGATTTTCCCATATCTCAAGTCTGGGGTACATGTTAATGAAAATATACATTGCTGCCTACGCTGTTGACACAGTCGACCACGTCAAAATAAAGAGTCAGTGGGTCGCATCCAAATCTAAAAACTAGATTAAGTACTTCGAGAGTTCAGAGTCTTTAAATAAAAAAAAAACGGAAGTCTGACTTCAAGGGCAGTGAATTCAGATTGTAAAAAAACTAAACGTCTAAAAAAACTTAGATTATAAATAACATTAAAAGGCGGCAAAAGGTGCGTGAGATACAACAAACATGACCACGCAGCCTCCTGCACCTAAGGTTTAAGACTAGAGTTGACAATGTTACAATCTCAATAAAATACAACAACTTTATTGCTATATCCCATGTGCGTTTACTCTGTGATGTTGGCACACATTAAAAACCTCAATCAGTGGGCATAGATTAAAAAAATCACAGATAGAGCAAAGATGTGAAGATTTACAACCACAACAGTCTGTAACAACTATTAATCATGAAATCACACTCAAAGGACACTATTTGAAAATCAAAAAATTTGCATATCGTCACCATTATGACAAAAATTTGAACTTAAAAACTACAGACATTTGTGATTGTTTCCGACAATTTGAATAAAATTAATTAACATATAAAAAAACGTTGTGTCATTGTTTTTTATATATCAAAACAAAACGAAATTCAGTACAACTATAAACTTAAAACTATCACGACTTGTTCCATACATAACAGAAATATGGTCAAAAATAAAAACTAACTACTAATAAATCCAAATGAATTTGATGTAATTTTTCTTGCAAATAAAACCTGGCAACACTTATGATTCTGAATTCAAAATTAAAACAGTAATCAATTTTGTCTGTTAAATACAATTTGCAGATCCGTGATACATGTATTGACTTCTCTTATTTTCAAAAGAGAGTGAGAGGGATGGAAGTATATTTCATACATTTTACATTGAAAGGTCAACCAAACATACACAGTGCGGTGTGTTACCGCCTTTACAGCGAACACATGGGAATACAACTTATTACAAATGAAGACAAACTATGCTAAGTTATCAGTTCAAAGAAAACAAATGCACACAACTTTAATTACCTATTACCAAAGTTTTATTACATTTTTTTGTACTTTTACTATAGAAGACATTTTAGTAATGGAAATTAATAATTATTTGGACAATTTCAGTATCTATTATTATGAAAATTGCATTGTTTTTCATCATTTAAGAAGTATTAAAGTTGCGTGCACAAGACGCCTGCTAATCAGTCAAAGACCAAAAAAAACTGTCATGGTGCGACAACTGTCATCACGTGTCCAAATTTTTTAATATTTTTTCTTAACAAATTTTTAATCAACAAGAAATTCGTGTCGCATTTAGCGCTCACATTAAAACCGACAATTGGACTAAAGTCAATAGAATAAGACTCAGATCTATATTTTGTACAATTTATCACATAAAATTTAAAAGAACACGCTTTTCTAGACCGCAGCAGCAATATATGCAACGATGGAAGGATTCTACTGATTTGTTGCTTAATCAAATTATATTCAACATAAGAAAATATCAGTTTAAAATATCGTTGGCTCCTACGTAGAGTATCGTAAGTCAGAATATTGAGATTTACAACTTTTGTTTTTTTTTTAAAAAAAATAATTTGATAAATACTAACTTTGTATGAATTTGAAAGTAACAGACTTAAGACAAATAAAATATGATTATAGCTAATTATCATAAATATATGGAAATGACAATAATATTACACCTGTCATTTTTGATTCGTAGTTACATAAAATTAGTACTGCTTTGCAAAATTTATGATAATTTACCTAAGAGCCATTGATAAAAGCTATCACGACCTTTGTTATAGAGTAGACAGATCAACTAGACTTTATTTCAACATATTTCCTAAGCCTCATTGCTCTGTGGCGTTAAAACTCTTAAAGGAAGTGAAAACTTTACTTTAAAAAAAAACTATTGTATAGCTTCAAAACTGATAATTTGGAACACAAATTAGTTACCCTCATTATATCTAAAACATGAAACTAGAATATATTAGTTAATTTTCTGTTTCAAAACAAATGTGTGCGTATTATATATTTTTTTAATTTCATCAAGCAACAAACCATTTCCGAGTTAAAGTATCACAAAGTTAATCCAAATGTTTCATCGATGAAAAAATAAACACTCTGATATAGTCGCCTCGGGTCGCCAATACCGATGCTTGTACTGACGTCGATGTACACTGTTCGTAGATAAAATTGAGATCAAAAGACTGTCTTTACAAACATCGATATTGCGTATCGTTCGTGTGGTTGTGGGCGGGGCCGGGGGCGTGGCCGGAGACGGGGCGGGGCGTGGTTCAGGCGTCGACAAGTTGCTTGGGCGTGTAGACGGAGGCGTTGGGGTCGAGCGGGGACCCGTCGGAGAGCCGCAGCTTGGACTTGCCGCCGGCGGGCGTCATGTACTCCGCCGGCATCACCGCTAACATCTGAGCCTTTAGTTCTTCTAGCTCCTTCTCTTGTCTCGACACTATGTCTACAACAACCAATATTATTTCTATAGCAATTATTCACAAGGACAAAGTTAAGCTGGTGAATACGGGGGATGTACCAATGTCGATGTTATGCGCGGTCCACACCTGGCCAGTAGCCTTCAATATTACTTGCGCCGGTGACCCCATACAATCTATGCTTGGCCTACCACTACTGGCATACTGTACTGGTCAAATGAGACAAGCATTAGGGTTTGGCGCCTGTCCAAGACGTAGGACAGAAAGGGGGGGGGTCAAAGTTAGCGAACGTAAGTCTGTAAACCCCCCTAAGGATGGTGGGGTAGAGATGGTTGGGGCGTACCTTCACGTATATGCAGCTGTCTCTTGGCGTCGCCGAGCGCGGAGAGCAGGTCCAGCTTGACGCGCGTCTCCGCGGACAGCGAGCGCTCGAGGTGCGCCGCGCGCTCCTGCAGCGCCGCCCACCCCCCCCCCAGCCGCAGTGTCGGCGACCCGCCCTCCTCGTGCCGCGCCTCCAGCACGCGCACCTGCGCACCACACACATATACTACCACACATACACTATTGGTACAGCCGGGTTAACATCTACAATGTACCGCTCTTGCACTGCAATACCATGACCACGCATTCTGATGAGTGTGCGTACCGGACGTCCACCCGTATCGTACAAGAAAAGGATGGGCAGGGATTTGTTTTGGCGGGAGATGCAACGTATATAAAAGGAGAATTTTTTGTGCGTCCTCTCCTCTGTTAATTAAATAAGCAACGCATCTAGACACGCGATTGTCTATGGACAACGGTAATTTCACTTTTTCGGGTAATTTTGCTGCTTGCTTGTTTATCTTATACTATGTAAAAAGCGTGTGCTCACCTGGTCTGCAGCCTGCTGCAGGTCCCGCTGCAGCTGTGCGAGCTGCGCCCGCGCCTGCTGCAGCTCTTGCCGCAGCGCCGCCGCCTCCGCCTCGCCCGCGCTGCGCAGCGACTTGCACCACTCGCTCTCGCACTCGCCGCTGGAATCATATGCACTTAACTCACCATCTCACTGGAACCACTACTTGACCGACTAAGCACTTGAGTTAGCATGGATTTCCACTACACATATAGATATCCCTCTAATGTTCTATGGTAGAGATTAACAATGTTTCAGATTTCACTCATTAGTAATACTGAAAATCTCGTCCAGAACACTTTCTGGACGAGATTCCTAAAGTACCCGGGGGAAGGGGGAGGGGGAGATTACTGGCTTATGAGAAGCTATGTAAGAGACAGTCCGGTGCCCTAGCGTACCGGGACTGGTTTATACGCAAGTGTTGTACCTGGGCGTGCGCGCCGCTTGCCGCGCTCGCAGTAATTGTTGCTCAGCAGCTGCACGCGCGCGGCGCTCTTCCGACAGCCGCCGCTCCAGCGCCACACGCTCGCCGCCGCGCCATGTCGTCATCCTGCACACACACAAACAATACAATATCTCAACTGACTGATAAAAATAATACTAGAATTATAATAATTAATAACTTTTAATTTAAAATTTAATAAAATGATATATACAGTACTTCGGTAACATAGTGAACGTTGGTGGCATGCTGCTCCTGGGTTCGAATCGCCATGTACGTTATAGTTTCCGACTTGAGTTTGGTGTGGTACAATAAGGTACAATAAGGTACAGTATGGTACAATGTGGCACAGTGAGGTACAGTATGGTACAATGTGGCAAAGTGAGGTACAGTATGGTACAATGAGGTATAGTCATGTACAATAAGGTACAGTAAGATACAGTCCACCACAATGAGGTACACTAAGGCACAGTAGGGTTCAATCAGCTACAAAGTACAATGAGTTGCAATGAGGTATAGCGATATAGAATGAGATACAGTGTACAGTAAAGTAGACTGGGGCACTGTCGGGTACAATCAGCCACAATGAAGTACAATGAGGTGCAATGAGGAACAGTTAAGTAGAGTGTGGTACAGTGTGGTACAGTGAGGTGCAGTGTAGACGTACTTGTGCTGCAGCGCGAGATGCGCCTGGCGCAGCTGCGCGTGCTCGGCGCGGCGCTGGCGCTCGGCGGCGGCGGAGGCGGCGAGCGCACGTCGCGCCTCCGCTTCGCCCGAGCGCGCCAGCGCCAGCTCCGCGCGCGCTCGCCGCAGCTCCTCCCCGCACTCGCGAGCTGACCGCTACAACACACATTTAACCCTTAAATGCGCACTCTTGTATAAATACATTACAAAAACAAACATTTACAAATAAATTCTTATGATTTTTTAATTATTTTGAGTAATAATTTGTGTTCCTGAACGATATACTTTTTTTTATCAGTAGTCATAAAAAACATTTATACAAAAACAAAAGTATATAAACATGTACATCTTTATATATTACTTTGTGTATTATTTTTTTTGGCATTGGAAAGAGATTTAGCAGACAGAATGTACTTTGTTCGCATTTCTGTTTTTATTTACTTACTTAATTAACCGTTTTAAAATGATACTCACCTGTTCTCGTTCTCTTTCTTTTTCGCGCTCCTTCTCTTTTTCTCTATACTCCCGCTCCCGCTCCTTCTCCCTCTCTTTCTCCTTCTCTCTCTCTTTTTCCTTGTCTCTTTCTTTTTCCCTCTCTCTTTCTCTTTCCTTCTCTCTTTCTCTTTCTTTCTCTCTTTCTTTTTCCTTATAACTGCTATCTTTATTACTTTTTACACTTTCTTTTGTACTTTCTACATCCTTAACTATTTGTTCTTTTGCTGAAAATTAAAATTAACATTACTACCTAAAAGAAAAATATTAAAACCACTGTAAATGCATAACCAAAAGATAACTCACTCTGTTCTGTACTCTTATGACTATCACTGTTCTCCTTCTCCTTGTCTTTATCTCTATTTCTATGTTTTCTCCTCTCTTCTCTTAACGTACTAGCCTCTTTCTTCTCACACTTTGATGACTTGGCACTACCTGCAATACACGCGACTATGAGAAATTTATTAACAAGACAATTTCCAATATATCTTAAAGTTAGCAGTAACTAGCTACATCACAAATGATATGAGATACTCAAATGAAATATAGTGAATCTATAATGACAAATTAACTAACCTTACATTACTAATTAGCAATAGAAATAGCGTTTAATTAATAAATCTGACATATTTAAAGTACCTTTACTATGTTCGTGTCGCTCCTCGTCGTGCGCGGAGTGTGTGTGTGTGGGCGCAGGCGGCGGGGGCGGGGGCGCGGCAGCGGGGGGCGTGGCTGCGGGGGCTGGGGCGGGGGCAGGTGTGTGTAATCCTGCCCCACTCGCCGAACCATTGCTGAGCGCGTGCGCGAACGTGCTCGCGAGCGCGCCGGCGCCCGTATGCGCGTGTGTGTGCGCGTGCGCGTGCAGCGGCGTGTGCGTGCTCGTACTAGATTGTGACTTCTCGCGCTCCCGCGTCGCTGATTGTTGCGCTAAATGCTTCTCTAATTTGTCTAACTGCAAAATAAAATATATAATTTAACAAACAGATTCAGTGCCACCGTTATTCCATTGCGAATTAAATTTCATAAATACTTTGTTACAAATGTGATGGTTTACATGGATGGATGCTTATTAGAATTTGTAGCCTAAACTGCTTGACGAATCTCGATGAAATTTAGCATCTAGAGCAAAGTCTAAAAGAACACATAGGTTACTTACTCTTCTTTTTTCGTAGGCGAAAGTTAGTAGCTCAATATCATCTTGTAACTATTTGACGCAGTTTTAATAATGTTTATTGTAGAGGGGGTACCTTAAACTGTAGATGTGCGTGTTCGGAGGCGTGGTGCGTGTGTGTGGGCGGGGCCGGGGGCGGGCCGAGGCCGTGGTCGCGCGCGCAGCGCCGCCGCAGCGAGCCATTGAGCGGGCGCGTCTCCCCGCACTCCACCGTGCCGTTGCCCACGCTGCGCTCCTCCTTACACGGCTGCTGGATCTGGAACGAATTGTTATGAGTTAAAATACCACAAATACATATGTATAAAAATCATGCGCTAAAACCTCGTAGAGCGCAATAACGATAGGTAAACGCTGACATACTTAATAAACTTTAACGATAATATTTTTCCGTAATAGATGATTTCCTGTAAACAGGCTTTAAAAACGAGTATTCAATGTGAATGTCAATGTCATGTGATATTTGGTCATATGCAACTAGACAACGTGACCACAACAGCGGAGATAACGACGGATTACGATACTGTTATGAATAATTTGTAATAGATAACAAAAATTATATGATCGCGATAAGAAATTATTTAATATCAAGCAAAATCAGATAATGTAGATATTGACTTTAACTTCGAATATATTTCTTTTTTGTATATTACTGCATCATAATTTCCACATGGTACAAAACGAAACTAAGCTACGCTTATTTTTGTAAATAAATACCTAGCTTTAAATTGAAAGAAACGTCACAAAATCTGCTTATATAACTTTTTACTCAGTAACTTTAACTTCAATTATTTTAAAAGTAGCCGAGAGCGAGTTGATCCGGTCCTAGTAACAGGGGAGTTACCTCCAGCGCGCTTTCGGGCAGCGCGTCCCTCAACAGCTGGAAGTAGAATTCATTCTGCGCGCGCACCTGGCGCTGCGTGCGCATGCGCAGGCGGCGGCCCACGTACGCTTTCACCCCAAAGCCCAGCGAGACCGCCGGGTAGCCGACGCAGTGCGCCGCCAGCGGCCGACACAGCTCCAGCTCGCGCGCTGCCCGCAGCGCCCCCTCCACGTACACCACGGCGCAGCAGATCGCCACCGTCGGTACGCAGATGCCCTTCTCACCCACTGCAAATGTTACCCATATCTTACTCCATACATACATACCCGCAACTTTACGCTACAAGTAGTCACAGAGTATGTTCTATCATACTAATATTATAAATTCGAAAGTTTAAATGGATGGATGTTAGAGTTTGTAGCCTAAACTGCTGAACGGATTCGATGAAATTTAGTATGGATGCACAGGATATTCTGGAAGAACATATAGGCTACTCTCTTATTTATTTTTAAGATGACTCTCGCAAAACTTTGTTGTCGAATACTGAAGTCTTTGTATAGGGTAAATTAATAGCAATATAAATAACAGATAATGTGCCTTAACAAAGAAAGTGTATAATATATTTTAATTTCATACGTGTTACAAAACTAATTTAGGCAAATGTGTTCTATGTTTTTTACTCAACACAAGAACCGGAATTAAATAATTTTGGATACAATATATTCCTCTTCAAGTGTCACATTTCAAGGTTACCGTACAAAAGTCGAGTTTTATCAAACTGGATCCTTTCCCTAAACAAGAGGCGACACGAACACTCGTCTGACGAATGCTAACGCGGTCACATAAATAATGTATCCAATTTTTTACATCAAAACGCATACTAACGCAACTTAGAAACATTGATTTCCAGGTTACTGTGCTGGATAGAAAATGAACTTAAAATAGTATTATAATAACCTAAATCTACATTTGTTGTTGTTTATTTAATCTTTCATTTGAAAGCTTTATGAAAAATTAGCTTTTGCTTGCGACTTAATCCAGATAAATTTAAAAACTTAGTAATAAGTCTATATGTCCTATATAATTTGCCGAATTTTATCGAGATCAGTTGAACCATTTTGGAGATACGTAACAAACATCCATCCAAACTTTTGCATTTATAAAGTACTGGCTGTTGCCCGCGATTTCGTTCATGCAATATTAAGATAAAAAAAACGAAAAAAAAATTAAATGCGATTTTCGTTATCAGCAACGCAAATACATCTTCAAGAAAACTGAATTTTTTCTTCTGATTCACGATTAAAGTGACGTCATAAATATAGCAGCGAATCAATAATTAATTTTATGTACGTGGGATATATTAATAAATATAAAACCTCGTCTTGAGACAATGGTTGAATGTTAACATTACGTGACCCATAAACAAGAATATCACGTTTTGATTTCACCGCGTAAAAAACGATAACTTATACAAAAAAGGTCACGTTTACAAATTTGACTTTTTTGATACTTATTATATTTTTTTTTCCAAAGAAACCGTAACTCAGTTTTAGTAAAAACTTCCTAACATAACAGTAATATATTCATTTACCTTAATACAACGTGTATAATCTTAATAAAATTATACATAACCGCTATTTCCTTAACTGTCTACTCCATTTATTAGAAGTCGTGAAAGTTTATTCTAACACAAACTTTATCATTTCGAATCTAAAAGTTAACATATGAGGACGTGGACAAAAATAGATGTACAAATAAGAAAACAAGCGCTGGAGCGGTCGATATATTTCTGGAATCGGCGCTACCGTACATCAGGCGAGTGCAATAATTTGACATGTAAACAATGTTGAAAGTGATGTAACTTATACGTTCACTGTCTTGCTGGCGAGGAACATAGAATCTATACTGGCATCTTATAAAAACCGATTCGTTTAATCTTTTGCCATAAATAAGCTTTTGGAACTTTGGAACACTGTATTAAAAACCTTTTTTCCATGTCTATAAGAATCATAATTAATTCTTGCGTAAACAAGCGTAACTAACAATTTTGCACTTTTTTAAATTAATTAATATAAAAATGAATAATTTCTTGATTGTCTATTGTATATTATTATTTTTTAATTTATATACACATACTATTGTTTATGCTGGAAATATCACTCTAATTAAGCTTTTGACGGTAAAAAAAAAAATATGTCCATTTGTAGTTATTACTAGCTGTTCCCGTGCGATTTCATCAGCATAAAATTATTTTATTGTTTACATGTGTCAATTGTAAATGTCAAAATGATATGACATGACAAACCTTGACAATCTTGCTTCCTTGATGTTGGCAGTAACTTATGGTCTCTTTCCCACATTAGCGATTTTATCCAAAATATTTACCCCATAAATTTAATGGCGTAAAATATATAGTCTATAAAGCGTGTCGTAAGAGTAGGGCTTTTTTTTTAAAAAGAGAATGATTCAAAAATATGCTGTAATTGGCAACAAAGAAGTGAGCATTTATGGTTTATTATAATAGTATAGATTTCCTGTTGTCTCTAAAGGGACTAATCCTTTACTAATTTTAGCTTATAAAATTTGACACAGCATAGTTTGTACAAATTCATTGATATTTAAGAAGCAAAGGCTCAGAAAAATATCTAATTACTTTAGTTTCTGCATGTTTATTCGGTTAAAATATTAAAATTGTATTAAAAGGTTATACTTACATGTGACCCAAACATATTGTACCCATACATAGGTACTGGCCGCAAAGAATATGTACTGCACTGGTATGAAGAAATAACATATCATATCTGAAGTGAGAGCTATACACATGAAGAATACTGAGAATGCCTGAAAAAAAACACAAGCATTATATTTTATTCTTATTATTTTTGCTGTAGCCCTCGACTTAGAGGGTGCGAAAAAATTAGTAGCCACATGTCCTTCCAGAGTGTCCTACATCTGTACCAAATTTCATAGACATCAGTTAAGCTTTTTCAGAGATATCTTTGAACAAATTCATCCATGCATCCGTCTGAACTTGCGCATTATGATAATAGTGAGAAATAAGACTTTTTTAAACAATGCTCTAATGTATAGTCTTTTATTATCCTATAAACGTTTATTAAAATACTTCCAAATTTTAAAAAAATTAATCATTATTTTTATATTGTTAAGACTTAATAAATCGAAGTATAAAATTTAATTCAAATAAATAACTCACAAGTCCCTGATATTTAAATGAGTCATAGACGGATCGGAGCATCATCCAGAAGGGCCAGAGGAACTCGAACCTGAACTCCAGCATGTAGTCGGCCATCACCACTGTAGCCCATACCATTACAAACCTCAGGTACAGCAGGGAACTGCAAATAAAATGTTCTATAAAACTAGATCCCAACCTTACTTCGCACAATGTAGCCTTTATTTAGACGTAATGAGGCATTATACTAGTAATAAATTTTTGTAGTTTATTAAATAGCTTTCAAATCTTTTTGTACAATATAGTAGGTAACATTGTTTATTTTATTATTACATCTGTCTGATTTGCATTATTACATCGTTGATAAATTTATTATTAAACTTTGGTACACTTCTGATATCACTGCTTAATATTTTAAACTTTGAGTAGCTCTGCAGTTTATGCTTGTTTCTTATATTTACAAATTATAAACAAAAATGGTTTTATTAAAGTTTACTGAAAAATTTAATGTTTTCACCATTATTATTTTTCTATTAAATCTTATCATTGGAGACCACAAATATAACCACAATATGATCTAGTAAAAATAATAATAGCTAAACAAATTTTAGTGGTTTCCTCCTGTTGATAACTTTATATTATGCATTTATTTATAATTATTATTCCATATTTTTTTAAAAAACCACCTGTAAAACAAATTGGTCATAAAATATATTTTTTAATATAATTCATTGTTTGTATGTGCACGCAAGCAATTTAAGTCCTTGAATATACACACACGGAAGTATGTATAGAAATTAGTTTTTTCTCACACAATTACAATGAAAACATAGTATTATTAAATGAAACGCGTTGGTCGTGTGACTGCAGATTAGTCGAGAATACGAACATAGGGGATACATGTGAACAGTGTTGGTTTTTTTATTTTTTATCACTACATAAGTAAACGTGAGACAGAATCCACAGATGTTACTTTCTACCCACACATTTATGTTCTCACTGCACTTTTTCACCATTTCTTCAGTTAAGTTTATTATTTTTTTGTTAAATACACTTTTAAACACCCTGCAAGTCAATTATTTATGAGAATAACTACTTACTTTCCATACATTCCCTCGGTGATTTTTGTGCGCTTTAAGGGGCGCCGCATTTTGCCAGTATCGGCATTTCTCCTCTTCATATTTTTACCTCCACGGTGTAATTTACAATTGCAGGCCCCCAGTTTTGAAGTTATAATTACCTACAAACATTTAAAACAATGATCGCACAGTTAGTGCTTTTTGTTGTCAATCGGCCTATGTCCAGAATTTACGAGGGAGATAAAATATCAGCAAGCTCTTTTTGCATTCACCGAACAGTGTTGCTATAAGCTATGTTTGGTTTCCCCATTACCGTAGCTTTTTTGAGGAAAAGTGACACAATACATTTAATAAGTTGAGAATAACTACGTAACGTATGTATCAATAATATGTAACAATCACATTACATTTTTAACACGTTTTAACCATATTTAGCACATTAATTATATAGATATTTAAGAGTCAACATATTTTTTTCATGTTTAATTAGTATATGGAAACGAGAATACTAATTTTGTAAAAAAACAACCTAATTCGATATAGTTAAAACTACAAAAGTATGCAAAAAAATAAGCAAAAACTATAATGTGCATCGACGATCGAATAACAGTGCATTTGATGTATGAATCTTCATTTATCCTTCGCTGTCTTTACTTGTTGTAAAGGGAATATTTTATTTATGATTCTTTACCGTTTATTTATAACTTTTTATTACATTAATTTGGTCAAAAATTACTTAAAATATTGGTAAAGTCACGTCTAGCCACACTGCGGCATCATTATCTGTACTTGCATTTTTGTCATCATATCACAGAGTAGTATATTAACCATAGATACAGGTGCAATGACAGATTTTACTCCTTTGATATTGACAAATGAAATGTATTTTTTTTTGAAAATCTCAAATGTTTATGTTTATTAATTTATTATTTATCCATTTTATTCTAATGAGTTTTGAATGATTACGATGTTAAAAAAAATCTGAAAGGGAATCACAATAGATTTATGTTATGTTAGTTATGATTAAATAAACCCCTTGTATTTTGTTTGCATTTTCTGAAAATTTTATAGTTGATATCAATGGCTCAACAACCACTAATAAATTCTGTACGCAAATATTTAGCTTCACATCATATGTTTGCTGTGGAGGAGTGGCTCTCGGGGTTTGTTAAATTGTCTATAATTTAAAGTAAAAATCAAATATACGTTTTAAATTAATTCAGACGTTAAAGAATAGTTGTTCATTCCTGAAATTTATTTATTATTTATTCGCAGATTTGTTGAGTATTTAATGGAAAATAATGCAGAGTACAGGGAGAATGAAGTTCAAACTTTAGCAAAGGAACAATGGCTGTTGAATGATTTAAAAGACATATGTCCTGGCTCCTTACCACAGAACTTAAGGAATCAGCACAAAATTTCCATTACTGGAAGATTTGTGCTTCAAATTAATGCTTGTGTTGATATTGGTAAGAAGACTAAGATACTAGTATGTATTTTTGTAGTATAAGGTGACAAACAAGCGGTCATCAGTTATTGCAAACATTGCAAAGTGAAAGATGCTTAAAAACATGGAATTTATTGTACTTTATGACTAAGTTCCGTGTGGTTGCTGTTTACAGCTAGCCAACCCATTTGTGCCAAAAATGTAAAAGCAATCTAAACAATATTTAAATATATTTGAAAAGAATACAAAATGTATACATATTACTAAGTCTCTGCTTACTAATACCCCCTAGAGTCAAGGGCGGATCCAGCTTTAGCGCCAAGGGGTGTCACATTGTTGTGGTTAAGTCAAGAGGTTGACAGAATATGTAAATATATTTTATCAAGCTCTTGTCCAACCAGCTCAGGGGAGGGGTTCAAGACCCCCATGACTCTCGCCTGCATTCGCCGTTGCCTAGAGTTCTAGATTCAAATTATGTTTTTGTTTATAGGAACACCTGCTTATCAACAATATTTGAAGTTACAAAAAGTGAACACTGAAAATATTGAAGCAACAACTAATAATGATGAGAAAATTCCAAGCCACAGGTGAAGTGTAAAATAAACTAATTCAAATTAATGACTTTAATATTCTCTATGTAATTATTACCATAAGTTTGTTTCTTCATGCAGAATATGCTTTAAAAAAGCCAATGTCACTTGATGGTATGTAGTTTTTTAATGGCAAAAGAATTCTTTTAATTGGTCCAGTGGTTTTTTAGTTCATTATTTATATCCGAAAATTGAAATCTTTATAACATTGATAGATTTAGTAATTTTTCAGAATGATAAAGTTATATCTGACGGATGGTGTACAAGAAGTGTCAGGTATAGAGTACAGGCCTATGAGGAACCTGAGCTGTGATATTACTCCTGGATGTAAGCTGTTACTCAAAGGTAACTCTACTATTACCTTTTAGGTTAAATATCAAAAAGCTGTGAGAAGTGAATGTGTTTTAATTTTTTTTTTTATATAAAGATGGGAATGGGAAATGTCTTTGACATGCAATGGTAGGGGAAATATCCTCAGTAGATTAACAAGAGGTAATATATCTACAAATTTGGGGCACAGGTCGCTTTGCTTTTTTGTGAATTCCAATGCTGCTTGTTTTTTACTCACCTTAGATTATAAGACAACTTTTATTAATCTTTATAGGCTCCATCAGACATTCTCAGATTTTTTTTACCAAGTTTATTGTAATTAAGTTAATTATAGTTCCTTACGTTTAAAATTCAGGTCCGGTAATATGTCGTCGTGGAGTGATGTTACTCACGGAGGCTAATGTAGAGTTGCTGGGTGGCGAGGTGCAGGAGCTGGCAGATGAGAACTCCTTGGTTCAACTGCTGGCTTCGAAATTGGGACTCCCTGCCACTATACGTAAGGAGTTTACAACTTTTCTAACATAGTATTTCTATTCTAGATTGTTCTGGCTTCTCCAGGATAATTGTAATTTGAAAAATTGAATTTTACATAGGTAATAGTTCCGGTTTCATCGCTATAGGGCTATGTCAGACTGTGTTATTTGCACATCATGGAACCCCTTTCTGTCTAACACTTTGATTTCATGTCATTTTTAACTCATAAATATATTTCCAGCTCAAGAAAACACAACTAACAATACAATACAAAGAACTACCAATTCATCAGCTCAAACATTTAATGATGACAGGCAATATGAACCAACATTTGGCCAAACGTCTGACCAACGAAATAGAACAGAACCGATAGATGAAGAAGCATTTGGCACATTTGATGATGACATAGACGTTGATCAACTAGCAGCGATAGAAGCACAAATATTGGACAATCCCAATAAAAGGATTTCAGATGAAAATTATTCTAGACCGGATAAAAAAGCTAAAATAAACGAAAACACAGTTAATTGTGTCGATGATTATCCTGATGATGAAGATATCATGTTTGAAGATGAAGATTATATAAGAGATATGGAAGCACAATTTGATGCACACGATATTGAACTAAATGCGCATATTAATAAGGATCCAAAACCAGTGTCAGTAGAACCATTCGTTTATATCAAACAAATTAATGAACTAAGTGAAAGTGAAAGAGAGGGTAAGGTGTTCAAAGTGAAAGGACAGATAATCAAGTTATTGTCGAAGTTGTTTGTGAGTAAAGAAGGGTGGAGTTTGAAATGTGCTATAGTGGATGGCACAGGGAGCTTGGACGTGGATTTCACCAGCGACGTGCTGTCCAAGCTGGTGGGACTCACCCCTGTTGAGATGAATCAAATTAAAAAAGAAATTGCAACAAAACCTGAACTCAAAAAACAAACAATCGTGGTAAGTTTTTAAACATTTAAATATGGCACTAAAAAGAGACAGACATTATTGCTCACACATTAGTGGGACAAGGACAGGGACTTCTTTTCTTGCAATCTCATCGTAACATATTTCTTTTCTGTTCTTGAAGTAAATATTAATTTTCAGGCTTTAGAAAACGCCAAAAAGAGTCTACAAGTATTATATTGCATAATAGAGCTGACAATGTCTGGAGGCCCGAAGATAACGCGACTTATACCATTCGATAACTCACATGTAGAGAAACTGAAGGAAAGACAGTAACCTTTACATAGATATTAGCGTATAAAGCCTATTTCTACTAGATTAAGTTTAGTCTAAAAGAATATAAAAGATGTAAATATAATTTTACGATAAAACACAAATTGTTACAAATAACTTGTTTTAAAGAAAAAAAGGCCTTCGATTCGAGTATGTTGAACATAAAATAATGAATTCAGTGTTTAATCAAATATGGCGTTTCTATTGGTTAGTTCAATCAGAAAATGTGTTAACCATAGACATAGGAACATGGTGTGCTATAATATCAGGGTTTAGTTTTGGTTTTGGGTCACCCATGAGTCTTATAATTGAAGCTGCTTTTTAAGTATAGGACCACATATCTCTAAATTGATACATGTAATAAAATTAGAGTGTCTGTAAGAAAAAAAGAAAAATTCCAGATTTCAGGAAGATGGTGTATTTGCGTTGCTGATAACGAAAATTGCATTTAAAAAAATTTTGTTTGTCTATCTATCCGCAAGCTGCTTTTCTTCCGGGTAATCTCCGAAACGGCTGGTCCAATTTCGACGGTACTTACACCGGAGGGTAGATGACATGGATAGGCATATTATAGGCTACTTTTTTAAATTCCACGCTGTCAAAATGGCGTAACTGGTAGTTCAAATTTGCGCTAACGAAGTTTGCGGGCGTCATCTCATTTGCCATACAATACCAAATGTAAATATAATTATTTATCACATAAGTTATATAAATAAAACACTATTGGGTTTTACAAACTATATTTTATTTAAAACACCTTCTCGTAATTCAATCGTAATGTGGTTCAATATACAAAAATTATCAAATACATATATTAACCTACGACAGGCAACTAGTTATATGAGACAACCCCAACGACAAACACGAAAACGAACTTCCGCTTGAAGCTTAGGGTGAAATTATTATATACTATATAAAAAAATACAGATACTTCATTTTACTAGGTCTTTATAGACAAATCTACCGAATCTAACGAAGGACATTATCCGAATGCATAATTAAAATTATAAAAAATCATAAATTTTACATAAACTATACGATTTTCCACTATTTGTTAAAATGTTTACACGATCATAGGTACTATTAAAAAAAATTAAAAGTAATAACTTCTAAAGAAAACCTCAATAGTTTTAAAATTGTCATGCTTATTATCTGTAGCATATTACGTATTAAAAACACCCTAAGCTTCTCTTTCCATTAATAAAATACAAATGTGTTACAAATTGAGCACTCAATATATTTAAATAATATTACAACTTAATCTGTGATCGTTACTTTATGATTATCATAGCAATATACTTTTAAATGTTGCCAGTTAACGAAATTAAAAAGCTACAATTATTTAATTTAGAGTTAACTTTGGCTAAGTGTTAAGTTTTCCTCGACTGTAAGCGTTTAGACAACTAACTTGTGTACATAAGGAACTTCATTTTGTTTATATAAAATACAAGGAATTTAAATAAATTAGCAGTGCATAGTAAAGTTTAAAAGCGACATCACGAAATATAGTCATGCTACGGTGATAGTGATTTCTAATTTCTTAATTTCTAATTTGATTTATCGAAACGTGGACACCTCAATGGAAGACTATGGGCATTGGAAAGAGACAGAAAAAAAAGGGGACAGACAACAGAGCATGTTGCAAAAAATTAAAAGATCATCTTTTAAAAACTTCGTTGTTTATTGTATACTTCATTTATTATCGTACCTGAAGCGATACATTTATTCTTAATGAATTAGCCTTCCAATAGTTAAAACAAATCAAATAAATTGTGATATAGTTCATAATACATTTCATAAATGATCGCAATACAGCCAAGTTACTTGAAACAATACATTAACTAATCTGGCAATACTTCAATGATTTGTAAACTAACATAATTCGTCACGCAATATAACTGTACAGATGATATTCTGCAATATTGTGTTAACATTAAATAAGGCTATGATTCTTATAAATCATTCGGACACGTGCTAGGGCTCCATACAAAACAACGGTCCGTGTATCGGACATCGTCTTTATTGCCGCTGTATACGTCATTTTGCTATTTATATTCTAAATGAATTTAAAACCAATTCACAATCACTATTGTGTAATCTAAATATTAATATAATTTAAAACTCATTACGAAAAAAGCGATGTACGTTATCGCCATATTAAAATAAAAACAAAAAGCCGGTTATATCAAAACGCGTAAGCTATGTACAGAGCGTTTCGTTAAACATCCGTCACGTGAGAACCGAGTCGTCGTATCTCTGAAGCGTCAGTCTTCCACTTAAATGCCATCCATTCGTGAAGCAAACAAAACCGTTAGGGCCGTTCCGTGCACACCGAGTTAGAATTTATAAAATTCTCTCGTAGAAGAGGAGGTAAGCCTGCGCCCTCAGCACCTTGTCCTCGGTGACCTCGGAGACCATGCTGTCGGAGACGTAGTACCACTTGCCGGCGGGCGGCGCGGGCGGCGGTGCGGGGCCCTCGCCCGACTCGTAGCCCGACAGGTCAGACTCCGAGTCCGCGTCGCCGTCGCCGCCGCTGGAGGCGGGGATGTTGGCGCTCTTGGGCAGGAACCACCAGCGCGGGTCTGCGGGCCGCACGGGCTGGCGCACCTTCACGTACGCCACGTAGTGCCCGCCGTGCATGCCGCCCGAGTGCTCCACCACGCCGTACAGCGAGTACTGCAGCTCGCTCTGCCCGCGCGACACGTTCGGCAGCTTCTTCAGCTTGTCCATCGCGCAGAACGGCGCCAGGTCCAGGATCGTCGGGAAGTCCACGTGCTTCGTCATCTTCCGGAACATGCAGCGCGGCCCGATCTGGAACCGCTTCAGGTGGAGGATGAGGATAGCCGGCGGACTGGACACGAGGAAGCGTTTCGTGGCATTCGTGTAGACGGTCTTCCCGTCCTTGCCGTTGATCCTCTCGGTGCAGGTCTCGCAGCCGACCTTGTTGTTGCCCGTGAGCAGCTCCAGCGCCGTGAACTGACTCAAGCAGGACTGGATGCTGCACTCGTCCTCGTCGCAGATGTATCGAGACGACATGGGACTTTGCCGGTTGAGGGACGAGTAATCTCTTTGACTTTTCTCGGGTTCCATGTTTTTGGGGCGCGGAACGGTCGGCGGAGGGTACAGGGGGCTTTCAACGGGGGAGGGGTCGGGGGCGGGCAGAGGGATCGCAGGCAGAGGGATCGGGGGCAGCGGGATCGCGGGCAACGGCGCCGCGGGTTCGTCCACATCTAATTTCAACTTGTCTAATATCTCGGTAACGTTCTGATGGTTGCTGACGTTATAGGGCGCGGGCTCCGGCGGCTTGCTCTCGGGCAGGGACTCGTAGCTGCTCTCGCCGCTGTGCTCCAGCAGGCTTCTGGAGCCCTTGACGCTAATGCCGCGCGTTACCACCTCATTGGTGTATTCCGGAGCGAAAGCTATCCTTGACATGGGTCTCTCGTACTCGCTCTTCACTGGCGAAGGCTTGCTGTGCTGCGGACTCGATAGGTCCAGATTAATTTCACTGGAGAGGGAGCTATGACTGCCCAGCTCCTTGCCGTTGATTGGCGAGTCGACGTTGTCTACGGTTTCGGTGGAGTTGTGCTTGGTGGCCTCCGGACTGGCCACGCCGGAGTCGGGGTTAGAGAGGTTCTCGAGGGAGGCGAGAGACTTGTACTCGAGAGGGATGGTGGTGGTGGAGGTGGAGCTGTTGACGTACTCCCTGTCCTTGTCGGGGGCCTCGGGGGTACCGTCGGCCTTCTCCTTGTCGAGTGCGGGGCTGGCGCGGATGGAGTCGGAGCTGACGACCTTCTCCGAGTTGTATCCGGACTCCATGTGATAGGCGGCGAAGTTGGCGGCGGTGTGTGCGATGGCCTGGCTGCCGACGGAGGCGCAGTGCGTGTCGGCGCGCCGCGGCAGCTCCTCCAGGTTATCCTCCACATCCGCGTCTGACTGCTCCGACGACGACTTGCCCTCTTCCTTGCTGCCGTTGGCTTCACCAGAGTTCTTGTCTTTGTTTGAATTACCTGAAAGCAGACGACTTTATATTAAGGCGATGTTATCATGTTGTTGCAACTTATAAAGCGATGCTTTTTCTGCACAAGTCTTAAGGAAACGCAGTGATAGTTTTACATAATATTATCTTAACTACACAGTTCCATGCAGAAAAGCAAATGATATACGCATACATAAATATGTATATGCAAGCCATGCTGTTGTTAGTACCACCTTTGCTTTTCCGCGCGGCTTTTCTCGCGGCCATCCTCTCCTTTTTGAGTTGATGTTTGGATGTCTTATTTTCTTCTTGCACATTGTACATATTCTCTTCTGAAAATGCGTTATTTTAATTCATAAATACATTATTTTAAATCATGACTTCAGCCTTTTTAGATTGCACCAGCCTTCATTTTAAATAGAAGTATATTCTGATACAAAATGTACATGTAGTGATATAGTATAAAATAAAGTGCTGCCCGGTATTCTTTCATAAGGTGAAAAATAGTTATTTTCAAAAATACTTTTCTTTAAAATAGCAAGTAATTTGCTATAAATTTTTAAGTGTTTTACATTTCATTTTACAATAAAGACATTTAAATAATATAAAACAAATAATTAAGATACAACAATTAACACAAAAGCAATTATAATAAAGCCATCTACACACACTCAGTTTTAACTAAAAATTAAAAAAAAAAACATTCAGTAAAAACTGTCAGAACTTAGTGTATGTAGCAGGTTTTACAAACACAGCAGCATTTTTTTAATCCAAACAGGGATGCATGCTAGACACACAATTTAAAGCTTCAAAAATTACATTATGGCTAACATCAATAAGTCAAATCTTTTGTTGTTGCCTGCGACATCAACTGCGTGCAGAATAAAAAAAAATATTCCTCAATGTCTTATCAATACAGATTGTATCTATAGGTAGGTATGTAGAAATATATCCTCTCCCTTCTTGAGACCTTTAGATAAGTAATTTGAAATAAATAATCGGTATTTAAATCACCATCTTACGATATGATACCATACATTATGATACTTCGATCTTAGTTTTATATTTTTTTCTCACTAATAGCGCATAAGTTTTAAAAATGTATTCGTACCATTGGGTGTTTTCCTGCGCACGAGTGCTGGCGGCTGCGGCCTGGTGGCGGCCACCGGCAGCGAAAGGTCCAGGAAGTACTCCGCGCGGTCCGACTGGTGAAAGCACTCCTGACACTCCAGCGTCGACACCAGAAACCCTCGGAACACCTGATGCGACAGAACCATCAGATTGACACCTTCTGTACCATCTACTCATTTTACAACTTCTTATACATGACATTCACAAACCTGTTCAGGTCTAAGCATGGTATCAGAGGCCTGCTGACCATAGAACTTGACCTTCTGCTTGACCTCTCCATCAACTTTAGCGGGATCCACCTTGGAGCTCATACCAAGGCTACTGAGTATTACAGACTGGTAACGACGCAAGTCTTCTGATCTGAAAAACATAACATGCCAATTAAATTTTATTACTTCACTGTTTTAGAGCAAATACATGTTCCGGAAAACAACCTATCCCTAATGTAAATAGATAAATACATAAAAAAATGTATTTTAAGTGTATATTTAGTTTGATATCTATACTAATATTATAAAGAGGAAAACTTTGTTTGTTTGATTGTAACGAATAAGCTCAAAATTACTGGGACGATTTCAAAAATTCTTTCAGCATTATAAAACTTTGTTGTCAGTGAGTAATGTTACTAGTCTATGTAGGCTATGTTTTATTTTTTGTCATGCAGACAGAGTCGCGGGCGAATGCTAGTATTAATATAATTATATACGTTTTATAACGCATTTTTATGAAATACATCACATGAAGCCCTACTTTAATAAGGTTGCACAAGCATGCTACATAACAAACTGTTTGTATTTCAAGTTAACAAAGTAACTTAATCAGTACAACAATTTTAAGTAAATACAGACCATATTTATATAACACTGATGAATAGTGAATGAAATAAAAGGTATTTAAGAAGCACATAACCATTAAAAAATTATTTTCCTAACACAAATCCATAGTATTAATATAAATTAGTAAGATATATAAGGAGAAATAACCTGACAGCTTCCAGTAGATGTCTGAGCAGCTCATGTGCATCATGTTGATCTCCACCACCAAACTGCGGTAGTTTATTAACCAGTGCGGAGAGCAGCTTGCGCGGTGTGTACACACCACCCTCACCTGACAGATAACATTTTGATAAAAACAAAACTTAAAAAGAAAAAAGGAAAAAATAAGAAAGAGAAAGACCGAAGAAAGTATGGATGGATTGTGTGAAAGAGGATATGCTTAAAAAAGGAGTGGTTTCAGATATGACGGCAGATAGTAGATGTATAGAAGAGAAGGACATACTGTGCTCACCCTCTGTAAGGGATAAGGGCAAGTTGATGATGATGATGATGAAAACATAAAAATAAATAAGCATTCTTCATTCAGAAAGGAATTGACAAATTTAAACTTATTACATCAATAGAAATCTCTGAAAATATAAACAATAATTCAAAATCTTTAATATGTTCTAAAACATGTATTTGCTGCTAGCTTTTGAGAAATAGGTCAAACGACTCATTATGTCCTAAATATAGAAATATCGAGCACCTTACAAAAACTGTAACATTAGAATTTTTTACAATATGTTGCTTGTATCATAGACGGCTGATAGAGATGTATGGAAGAGCAGCACATACTGTGCCAACCCTCCATAAGGGATAAGGGCAAGTGGACGATGATGTTGCTTGTATCATTCTTTAAGAAACTAAGTAATTAAAAATAAGATAATTTTTTAAATGAACATTTAACTAAGAAGTTCTACTCCCAAAACATTTGTATTTAAAATTACATTAGTCAACATGATTTTAAACAGAAGACTGAAAGAAATGGCGCTATATAATTAATGTTACTAACCTGCTTTCAAATCACCCAAAGTTTCAGACAGTGTTCTAGTCAATGTTCCCCACTCTCCCAACTGTCCTGTAATTGGTGGAAGTTCCACTTCCTTTACATCATCTCCATCTATCTTCAGCTTAAGCTTCCCTCCTGGCAAGGTGAACCGCTCACCAGGAGTAGCCATCTCATGGAGAACATCTTGCAGGTACGGGGTTTGCACCAAGCATTGCATCACAGAATTAAAAAAACATGTATTCCCTAAATTTGAAAGACCCCTTACCCGGGGTAGGCTCAAAGCCATTGCCTTATCTTTCCCTTTTGGGATTTGATCAGTTTTTATTATTGATTCAACAGGCAACGGGACATCAAAGTTCTTCGGTTGACTGTCAAAGAGAGGCTCAAAGGAAGGTAGCAGTTTATTACAGGAGGCTTGTCTTTTGACATATTCGATACACTCATGAAGCTTCTTTGAGCTAGAAGCGGTCACTTCATTGTTACAACTATAACAATAGATCTCCCAAGTTGTTGTATTGGCAGTGAGTGAGTGGCAGTCGGAGTGTGGCGTGTTGAAGTGGTTGAGGGCGTGCTTATTACGCGTGCGGCCGCACAGCTGCGACCCGCACCGTAGACACATCCAAAGTGTTACATCTTCTTCAAAATTTGGATCCAGTTCTTCTATCTTATTACTCTTCTTACATTCCGAGCATTCCTTTTCGAAGCCTCCCGCTTTTAATGACTTTTTGAGACGTGTTAGGTCCACTGCCTTGGCGACGTGAGGACATGCGGACTTCACACTCTCGTCGCAAGACTCCGTCGACTCGTCGCCGTTTTCACCGGGATCGCTTTGTCTCTTTTTCTTCACCATCGTTGCGTTAATTCGGGTCGCTCTGCCTGTAACGTAATGAGATACACTCGTAATAATAACCACACGAACACAAAAAGAATAAAATGTCAAATCTGTGTCGATTGACTTTGCACGCGTGACGACGCATTTTCACCGAGAAACTATCACATTCCACGCGTTGAATAAGACCAAACATTTAGAAATAAATGGAATCAAAACTTACTTTTACATACGATGGTAAAAACCTAATGATAGTAGTCGTGAATCTAAAAATTGCTAAGATTTTTGTCACAAAAGTAAACCACGGCCGTCAGACATCTTGACAGTGTTTGCAGCATGAAAAATAAAAATCTGAAGTTTAACATAGCTTATCCAATGTCACATTACGAATATCGATTTATTTGCGCCAAAATACATGAATCTACAGCAGTAAAGCGTCAGCTGGCACATCTAGCGGCGAGTAGCGGAATCAATAATCTGAAACGTCAACATGACCGTGATGGTGAAGGAATTTGATAATCAAGTTGTAATTTCTTATTAATTAATTTAAACTATCAATTGTATTTATAGCGCTTTGTAAAAGCAAACACAACATTTAACAGAGTGTTTTATAAATATGTAGAGTGTTTTGTCGTTTTCGTTTATATCTAGTCTTTAGCGAATAAAATCAGAATGTCGCTGCCAGGAAATGGAATATTTGTGGTCCAGGGTGAGATGGCCATGCTGGTCACTGCCATGCGACGGAGCATACGATGGGGCTCACACTCCTTCCCTAACGAGGAGTACGACGTCCTTATGAGAACCTTCCAGGACCTTAAGACAATATTGAACCAAGTCGGGGATTTGCGACTGCTTGATCCACCGACTTATTTAAGCCCCTTTCTGGAGGTAATCCGGAGTAAAGAAACAACTGGACCAGTCACAAACCTTGCTCTTTCTGCTATACATAAATTTTTATCATATGGACTTATAGGTAAGATATTTTTATGTTTTAAAAACTTGATTTAGTATGTTTAGATGTAGAGAGAATTTGTGTGTGAAGCAATAGTACTTAAGAGATCAATTACGGCAACATGCACTTGTGACTATAGTGTGTCTAAATAATTTAGATTAGTTTGACAAATCACTTCAATTTTAGTAGCGATGGATTGTGTAAAATCAATGACGATGATTCTTATCGATTTCTGATTTCTATTCTTATAGAAGTTGGAATCAATAGATTCATAGTTATAACTTATGCATTAAAAAAAACACAATTTTCTCAAATCAATAATGACCATAACAAATAATGAGAGTAAATAAATGTTCATTACTACTACAGCCGTACATAATCAAATTTGATTTCACTGTTATTTCTGTCATCGCTAAATTCTCTACTCTATAATAAATACTAGAATAATAATAAATTAGTTAATAAGAAAATAATAATTTTAGTTGAGTTCAATAAGTATTTAAACCGAATATCAATAGTTCAAAATTGTTCGCTATGCCTGTTTGTTTTGTCACTCGATACCTGTCTATTAAGTATGGTATTTTCTTTCATACAAATTGAATTCAATACTTCATATGCATCATTTATCAAACTAATCTATATTATTTAGACAAACTATAAATGGTTAAAACTTGGTTGCCAGTCATCTAGTTCATCTTTCTTGACTACTTTATAACTGGACATGAGTAAACAAACGCACTACAGTTATAAATGATTTTAATATGAAGGTATATGGCAGTATTCAGTATTTATATCTAATTGTCTTTATAATCAAGGCCAAGGTCACTTTGCTATTTTACTCTATTGTCATTTTTAAAACTCATATTTATAAAATTAATTGTTTAATTATATTGCAACTCACATATTAATCTGATTAGTTAATTTATTTATCAACATTGTAATTTCAATGCACTTAATATAAAATTCTTATCAGATATTGCATGTTAAACCTATAATATTTTGTAAGTTTTTGGACAAATTATATTTATGAATATTTCGTGACTCGGCTTCAGATCCAACTCATCCGAGTGTACCTGCAGTGGTTGAGGACATAGCAGATGCAGTCACGCATGCTCGGTTTGTTGGCACTGACCACTCCTCGGATGGTGTGGTGCTTATGAAAATTTTACAAGTGAGTATATCTTATACATTGTCTTGTTTTTCATTCAAAGAGAACATAGACACAAACTTTTCTTTGACTATTATTTCTACTTGTGATGACTTAATTTTATTTTTGTTTGTAAACACTTCTGCTGGATGTTTGTCTCAGTGTAAATACTAATTGTTTTGTAGATAGAATAATTCAGTATGATCTATGGTTCTAGGTCCTCCGAACTTTGATGCTAAGTCCAGAAGGTGTCATGTTGACAGATGAAAGTGTCTGCGAAATTATGCTGAGCTGCTTTAGGATATGTTTTGAAACCCGACTAACAGGTAAAATCAATTACATATATAGAAATGAATACATTATTACATATTTTCCTGTTTTAGTTGATTATTGTACATCTTTGTATGGCTTAAACCTATACCTTTTCAGAGTTACTCCGTCGCAATGCTGATCAGTGTCTGCGCGACATGACGCAGCTGATCTTCATGCGGCTGCCGCAGTTCCCGCCGGAAGACGGCGACGCGCACCTTGCGACGCTTAGCCTCTCACTCAAGAAGAGAGACAAAGCTACTAAAAAGAAATCTATTACCACCGCACATAGTAAGTAAAGGACATCTACACACTAAAAGGGAAAACACTTTTAGTTGAGCAATGATTTCATAATTTTTTAAAATAGTTATCACTTACTCATACTAGATGGCGGTAGTTGTAGTTTACAAGCCGCTATGATTTTGTTTTTATCGGGCTATATGTCGCCGTACGCATTAAAAATGGTCAAAAAAGGGTGTTTGCCGCTTCGATGGCACGCGGCCGGCGACGGTCAGCGGGGTATGGTTATCAAGACATACCCAACACATAATTTTTGTGATCGCGAGGCAGTTGGCTACCTATATGTACCGGCGCTTCGTTCATCAAATGCGAAAAATTGCCATAACTCAATTAAAATTGATGACTTTGATCAATTAAATTTGTACCTGTACAGCGGTATGTTTTGCGTGTGTTGAAAGCTACTAATTTAGTTGATCTGCAGGTCAATGGTTACTGCTAAGTGTGCTGATTTGTTACAGCAGCTCTGACTCTGAGCTCTTTCTAGCTTAAATGATTTACGCGCGTTAATAATTTAAGCTAGGTCGGTATTCATATGATCTGCAGATCAGCTCACGGCAATATATAAAGCACCTCAATAAACTCGCTCGTAGTTCAGTTCTAACTAATATCTTCCCAGCAATTTGTTATTCTTTATATTTAGATCATAACGTTCTTTTTGATAACAAAATTAGTTTACTAAATTTTTTTATTATCTATTTATTTATTTTTATCGTTAAAATGCGTCATTTAGGTTCAACAACTCGTAATGTAAACATCGATATTTTAAGACAAGCTTTTTTAATTTAAAAAAAAAATAAGTACTCTTGTTAAAATTTAATTAGATTTGTAAAACGATGGGAGTTTTAAGAAAAACAGTGAGAATTATCGTATGGGATACTTTAGCAAAATTAATTTTACGGAATGAAAGAACAGTGTTGTATTTGTGGAAGTGTTTTGTGAAATTTCTTCGATTCAACAGCGAGATAGCTGAAATCGTCAAGGAATGTAAAAAATGTTAGTTCATGTAATTGTTTTTAAAAAAGCAAAGTTTTATCGTTCTGAAATCCTATTATTATTTTTTGACCTTTGACTTATGATTACTTATTGCTACTTATAATTTAATAAAAAATAAGAACATATTCTGTGATCATACTTTGGCCAATTCGTAGTAATTTTCAGTGTGTTTATTTATTTTACATATTTACCTTACTTTCAGGTACAAATTCGCTGGATAGGAAATCATCCCTAACAGACAGGGGGACATCCCCCAGTGTTGACAATGTAGACGTAGATACGAAAATCGACGCTTCAACAACACCTAAGTAAGTAACATATTTATAACTCAATTTAATGGTAAATTTTCTTCTTGTTTTCTCTTAGAGCGTGCGGCTCACCTTTGACTATGTTTAGTCTCGCTTTGATTCCTATGATCTTATTTGGAGGTGCCCACACTACTTGATTTTTATTTATGCAACCAAAAAATTTAATTATCTGCGAAACAATCGACAATCGCACGACTGTTGTGCGATAGTTTTGTCAAAGGTAAGCGCCCGCTCTTGTTTGATGACAACAATAAGCCCTTCTCTATTCTTAGTATAATGTAATCAAGAATATTATGATCCTTGTTTGTGGTTTTAATTTGCATTATTATCTTGCATTCTAATGTGAGGAAATTAGTTTCATTATTTGAAATATTGTGAGGAATATTTTTCTATTTAATTAAAAAAAATAATTAAAAATGCATCATATTATCAGCCAAGACAGGAACCTGATGAACGAGGCGGAGATTACCATAGAGCCGATAGAGGTGAAGAGTCCGGGCAAGAAGCACGCGCGACATTCATCCATGGACCTGGCGCACAGCAACCCCTCCATCTCCCAGCTGCTGGAGAAGTGCGTCAGCAGCACCGACACCTGCAAAGACCTCGAGGACCACTGTCAGCTTGATGGAGACACAAAAGATGGTAAGAAATTACTAGAAATCAATGCATTTCCAGGCAAACCTGTCCATTTTTACAGATCGGTGTAGTCTCCCAAAGTGTAAATTCATAGCAAATATTCGTTAAGTAATGGTTTATTGACTTCAACCAAATGTTTTTACCAGATGTCCCACAACCCGAGGAAGAGGTGAAAGATGAGACTCAAAAGGAGGAGGAGAAACTGGAGGAGTACGTAAACCCCCGCGGCATCAGGTTCACGCCGCAGGAGGAGACGCCCAACCTGCAGCCGTACGGCCTCGTCTGCGTCAGGGAACTCTTCAGGTATGCTGTGTAAAATATACCCATAGCTAAGCGATGGTTCCTAAAACAAAAATAGATTAATTTCGACGCATCAAACGTTAACATACAGTATGCAACCAACATCTATAGTTCTTTTTTCTTTATAATGTTGCTTAAAAAATCGTGCTTATCACGTTAATTAAAAAAAAAAAAAACAAAAATTGTGATGTACGTGTAATGTGGTCGAAATTTGTCACAAATGTTTAGCGCTCTCTTTAAAAAAAAAAGACTCGCAAGAACATATTTCTTAATTAGTCCAGAAGTTAAAATATGATGGATGAAGTTCTAGATTTCTTTTTCCCTCCGGTTTTCCCTTTTCACCAGGAATGTCAATATTATTATTTAGATTAAAAAAAAAATCTTGTGTTAGGATTTAGTTATAGTGTAGCCGGGATTGGAAGCGACGATCACTGGTTCTGTAGGCTCGTTGTGCGTTAGGTTCGTGATATCGCTGTGCAACCCGCTGGAGACGCAGAACACGTCGGCGATGGTGCAGCTGGGGCTGGCGCTGGCCGGCACCGCGCTGGAGGTGGCGGCCGACCTGCTGCCGCGCTACCCCGCCCTCATGCTGCTGCTGCGCGACCCGCTCTGCCGCAACCTGCTCAGCGTCAGTACTCCATCATCCATCTTACGCTCATCACCTGCACTGTGGAATATTCCCAACCGTCACCCCGCTCTGTCCCCACGTGGGAACAGATGAGAATAAAAAGATCCATCCGTCTCACCTTTAGTGACGAGGGGACGATTGGAACTTATATTTCATAACTGTTCCATCTGTCACCTTATTGGTGATAGTGGGACGGATGAAACTTTATACTCACGTGGGGACAGATGAGAATAAAAAAATAATAGATAATATAGCCTATGTTACTTATAAATAACGTAGTATTTTAAAAGTGAAATAATTTTTGAAATCGTTCCATTCGTTTTTAAACCATTTGAATATTTCACAAAAGTACAAAGCTATCCTTTTTATAACATTAGTGTACGTTTTGGTATTTAAATAACTAGCTTTCGCCCGTGACTCCATCCCTTTGGAATTAAAAAAAGTAGCCTATGTGTTTTTCCACACTATCCTCTACATCTATGCCAATTTTTTATCGAGATCAGTTCAGTTATTAGGCTATAAACTCTAACATAACATCCATCTAAATTCGCATTAAAAACATTAGTAAGATATATTTTACTGTGATGTGAAAAGGAATTTTTAGTATGTCTATCTCTTTTTTACAGTTATTAGATACAGAAAGAATATCAATATTCGCACTCGACTTGCAAGTGTCTTTCCTATTATTCGAATCGTTGAGGTTCCATCTTAAATTCCAAATGGAGGCATTCTTTAAGAAAATCATTGAAATTATATCCGAAGACACATCTAAATCTATCTACGAATTAAAAGAAATACATCATTTGGCACTAGAAAGTCTAGCTCAGATGTTCAGAATACCTGGATTTTGCGCCGAATTATATCTAAACTACGACTGCGATATTTACTGCATGAATGTGTTTGAAGAAATAACTAAATTATTATCTAAAAATGTGGTATCTTCGAGCGATTATAATGTCCATACTTTATCATTGGAAGCTTTGATGACGATAATAGAAGCTATAGAGATGGGGACTAGTCAAAAAATGGAGAAGAATGAGATAGAGATAAGTGAGGAGGAGAAAGGTGTGGAGGTGTTGGGGAGGGGAGGGCAGGTGTCATTGGAGCTGGGTGGCATGGACGATGTGTCAGTGGTGAGCGACCACGTGACGCATGACATCAGCCTGTACGTGTCGGGCGCGCGCGCCGCGCGACACCCGCCCACGGGGAAACTGCCCACTGAAGCAGAGCTGGATAATATTAAGAATATGAAAAAAGTAAGTTTTATTAAAAAAAATAACAGATTTAAGTCTAGTTTATGCTTAACTAACTTTCGTCCGCGCAGAATAAAAAAAAACAAAAGCAAATAACCAATGTGTCCTTCAAGACTTTCCTCTACATCTATGCCAAATTTCATCGAGATTCCCTCAGCTGTTTAGGCTACAAACTCTAACAAACATCCATACATTTAAACTTTCGCATTTATAATATTAGTAAGACTAATAAGAAGCAAGATGTAACACACTTTGTTATGTAAGATGTCAGCAATCTAAGCATGTTTTTTAATCATTTTTAAATAAAAAGCATTTATGATACGTTTTAAGCTATTTATTTGCACGCTATAAAACTTGGTGGTAAATACATTGGAAAAACCGTCATGCGAGAAAGAAAACTTCCAGCCAGCAGCAAAGAAACAATTGTTTTGGTAACGGTAATTGTTAAGCATTAGTGTTGAGTAGAGTGCGGTGTTGTGCAGTGGGTGACGCAGGGCACGGAGCTGTTCAACCAGAAGCCGGAGCGCGGGGTGGAGTTCCTGCAGGAGCACGGCGTGCTGGCCACGCCCCTCGACCCGCACCAGGTCGCACTCTTCCTCAGGGAGAACCCAGACTTGGATAAGAAGATGATAGGCATGTATCTTTTTGTATCTGAATTTTTGCATTATGTAGTAGTTAACATACGAATGGTTAATAATCTGAAAAAAAAACACTTATAACTATAGTTTTTTTGGAAAAAATTGAATTAGAAAAAGTTAGTTAAAAGTGATTCCTCGCATTCTGCCACCCATTATAACATACTTTGTGGTGTGGTGTACAGGAGAGTACATCTGCAAGCGGTCGTCGCGGGGCGAGGAGGGGGCGGGGGCGGGCGAGGGCGTGTCGGGGGGCGTGTCCGTGCTGTCGGCGTTCGCGGACAGCTTCGATTACCGCGGACAGCGCATCGACGTCTCGCTGCGACAGTACCTGGAGACCTTCCGACTGCCCGGGGAGGCGCCGCTCATCTTCCTTGTCATGGAGAAGTTCGCCGAGAGGTGGCATGTACGTTACCTATAATAAATACATCAGAGTACCAAAATAAATATTACTTCACTAATGATGTGTCCATTGTCAGACGACAAACGGATCGCCGTTCGCGAACACGGATGCCGCGTTCCGTCTGGCGTACGCCATCATCATGCTGAACATGGACCAGCACAACTACAACGCCAAGAAGCTGAACGTGCCCATGACTGTCGAGGACTTTGTACGCAACCTGCGAGGATGCAACGGCACCGGGGACTACGACCAGCCGATGCTCGAAGCCATCTTCAATTCAATTAAGTGAGATATGCAACTTGATACTCTATGTTCTTGATACATTACGCTTATGTTAACTTTTCTAATTTTTATACATAGAATTTAGATACATTAGAAAGGAAATGTCCTCTGTTTATGTCCTTCGTTGACTAAAAGAAGGCCATTGAAAATGCATTTTCATATGTCTGTCTAGATGGTAGTTATTTTGCCATTTCGCCAGTAATTTCCTCATATCACTTTATGATAAAAAAATCCAGTTAGTGTCATTAGCGCCTATGATATTACTTTAGAGCAGTTTGTGTAGCTGAATGTGAGTGACTATCGGTGAAAGCGGTGTGTGGTGTGTGGTGTGCAGGAGCGAGGAGATGGTGATGCCGGCGGAGCGCGCGGGGCCGGTGCGCGCGGCGTACCTGTGGCGCGTGCTGCAGCGGCGCGCGCGCGGGCCCGCCGCCGCCTACCGCGCGCCCTCGCTGCCGCACCACCACGCGCCGCTGCTGCCGCTGCTCTGCCCGCCCGCCGTAACCACCCCCTCATTATTCTTCATCAAACATACACCATACTACCACGATAATTAAACTAGACTATTTAGTAAAATATTTGTTTCAACACTGACCCATCACTACACTGCTTTAGATATAAGTGTTTTACCATTTTTTGGTAAAGATTGTGTTTCACGATCCTACGCCTAGTAATGTTTCAATAACTATGATTTACCCATTTCAATAACCGCCAGAGCTACAATATAAAGAATTAATTTATGTAAAAGTGAAAATGTATTCAAAATAGTGTAAGGCCCTAATATTGTAGCAGTATGCAGTCGGTAATTGTGTGTATTGTCAGATATCGGCGCTGTCGGCGGCGTTCGAGCGCGCGCCGCAGCCGAGCGCGGAGGAGGTGGGCGGTGGGCGGGGCGAGGGCGTGGCGCTGGCGGCGCTGGGCGGCCTGGAGCGCTTGGCGGCGCTGGTGGCGCGCCTGCAGCCCGACACCGTGTCGCTCGACACGCTGCTGCTCACCCTCTGCAAGTTCAGCGGACTGCTAGCGCCCCCGCACGCGGGCTACATCGCTATAGGTAGCTACTACATAAAAAAACACACAATTTTAGATAAGTTTTCAAGCAAAACCAGTTTCACTGGACCAAAAGCAGCCAAATAAAGGCAAGTGGCATGTGTCTCGCCTTAAAAAGCAGATTGATGTAGGTTTAGTTTACGGTAGTTTTTTTCTTGTATTTGCTAAAACTAGCTTTCGCAAGCAATTTCGTCCGCGTGGAATTAAAAAAAGTAAATGGCTTATGTGTTCTTCCAGACTATCCTCTACATCAATACCAAATTTCAGCAGTTTAGGCTAAAAACTTGTAAGAAACACATCCATCAGTCTGAACTTTGTCATTTATAATATCAGTCGATCGTAAGATGTATGTGTCCCGCAGGCGTGTCGCTGGGGCAGTCAGCGAAGGCGCAGCTGGCGCTGCGGCGCGCGTGCGCGGTGGCGGCGCGCCACGCCGACTGCGTGCGCGACGCTTGGCGACACCTGCTGGAGATGCTGCACACTCTCTACATCGGACGACTGCTGCCCAAGGTCGGCTTGCACAACAATTAATATGTACTATCAAAGAAATTGGTGCTGATCAAAATTAAAACCTATAGGTTTCTACATTTACATTTACAGGAACATCTAACATCTATAGATGTTCTTTACGACGATATCACATTGCAGAACAATAACCAATAACTTTTAAATTATCTAAACCAAAAAGATCGATCAGTATACGGTTATTTTTTTTTATTATTATGTAATTTTCGTAAATGACTGTTACCTTATTATTTGTGCGGGGCGGAGTATTCTATAAGTGGGGCACCGCGTGTTTGTGCAGTGCCTGGTGGAGGCGGAGGACTACCTGGCGCCGGGCGGCACGGTGTCGCTGCTGCGGGACCCGGCGCGCGGCGCTGACGCCGGCCTGCTCTCCAGCCTCTACTCCTACATCGCGCTGGGGGAGACCGGTCAGCCCCGCACTCTAACACATTTACAAACATTTCTATAGTGTCAAGTGACAAACGAACAACCAGATTTCGGAATTCGACAAAACGGCGAAGCGACCATTATCCCTTCACGCTCGTCAACACCGTTTTATTGCAAATCTAGCTGTTCCATAGCATCCTCATTAAATAGTTTATTATTTACATTTCCTAAAACTTTCAATGGTTGAATGACAGTACAGTGCAGTCGGCATGATTGTTCCCAATTTTGTAAAGCAATTTTTTCAATATATTCACCCCAAATTAAAGAGCGGGGAAATATATGAAATATGATAAATATTCTGATAGCTGATATTCTACATATAAAAAGTATGTTAAAACTTTATTTATATACATTAGTATAACAAAATCTATTTTTTTAATTTAATAGGTATACGCGCTCCAACTCCCCACGAGAAAGCTCTGATTGATATAGCGACGGACTGCGTGGCCAAGTGCAACTTCCCCGGACTGCTTATTACTGAAACTAAGTTTTTACAGCTTGAAAGTCTACAGGTTACTAACTTAATTTGTTATTTAAAACGATACATAAAAATTAAATAATGTTATTTAATCACTTGTGGTCCCTCGAGTCGGATATGAATTAAAAATGTAAGAGAGTATTTTTTTTGTGTATAGGAGTTAGTAAGAGCCATGGTGACAGTGGGCACACCGCCTGACGCTGAAAGTCTACAGTTAAATCCGCATCTAGAAGATATCACTATCTTCTTTTTAGAACTACTTGGTAAAACACTTATACAAAATCGGTAAGTCATATTGAAATTGAAATTGAAATTTATTTATTGAAAAATAACAGATTAACAATTAACAATAAAAGTTATAACCAATTAAAAGATAAATACAAATAGTGATAAAATGTGATTGATCTAGTGATGCCCACAATAGGCAATGCCTGTATCGTGGGCATCGAAACACAGGAAAAATATTTTTATACAATAATAATTAAAAACCTACGCTTACGGCGTTTCGGTATTATTATGAATATATGAAAGAAAAATAAATATGCAAGATGATATATGATATATGTATAAAATAAATAAAATAAGATGAAACAATAAAACTAAAAACTTGAGAATAAATAATATATGTTATATATGTATGAATATCTGTGTTACATTTATACATTTTTATATTATAGGATTCAAAATTCACTAACTTAAAGTAGACTACTTTGTTACTTAGCCGTATTATTTTAGTAACAAATGTTATCTGTTAATTCATAATTTTTGTGAAATAGTCAATGTCATAGTTTAAGGTTTAAGTGACAAATTCATAAAAAGTCGTTCAATAACTAGGTGTGTTATGAAGTTTTTATTTCAATGAAAATGAGATGTTTGAATATAATTTACTTGTGATGTCATTGATTTTAGATAGTTTTAGTGTTCATATTACAGACTTATAAAGGTGGAATGGTTTGTCATAATGTATCATCAACATTCTCACCAGTTCACTGTATCATTTGTCCCCACGGAGAGGCTTGGCCATAGTCAACCACGGTGGCCTACTCCGGGTTGACTTCACACATATCTTTGAATTTCTTCGCCCATATATGCAGGTTGCATTACGATGTTTTCCTTCACCGTAAGAACGTCCGCTAAATTTCATATGTACATATAATATGAAATTCTAAAATCACATTGTTACATGGCGGTATTCGAATCCAGGACCTGTAGATTACAAATCAAGTGCTTAAACTTCAGAACTACCGACCCTTAAATGTATGCATATTGAATCGGTTGCATAGAATAGTGGTAATATGTGTATGTGTGTGTCGTGCAGCGACCGGGTGTCGAGCGTGTGGGGCGAGGCGAGCGCGCACCTGGAGCGCGTGGTGTGGTGGGCCAG